GCCCCCCCCCCCCCCCCCCCCCGCCCTTGACCAGACCTGACCTCACAACAGTGGTCATTAAGGGAATCGTTAAGTTGTACGTTAAGCAATTCTGCATTCATTAAGCTCAAGCCCATTCTTTTAAATGGCCGTATTTTATTTTTTGATTTAAAAAAAGCATCTATAAATACATGTTGGGGGGGGGACTACGGAAGGATCTAAGGCTGTCTCAAACCCAGGGCACGTGAAACACCCCACCCCCCACCCCAAAAAAGTTACCTGCGTGTTGGACTTGCGACGTTTCTTCTCGGGACTCTTCATTTGAAGACCTGGCCAAGGCAGAAAAGGAGAAATTTAGAATATTGGTGCAAAAGGGGTCTCTTCTCAGCCATCCAGGTGAGAGTTTTGTCTCAAAGGTGCTTTTTTTTTCTTTTCTTTTCTTCAAAAGGCATCAGGACTGTGCTTCCCCCCCACCTTTTTTTTTATAATTTGGCCAATTGTGATTATTATACTATATCACGCCAAGAGACCGGAAGCTGTGTACACGCAAAGCAACGGAGTAATAATAATCATGATAACGATGCCAATATGAGGAGGTGGTAGAGATGATGAGAAGGTTAATAGTACTTGGGTGCCATTTTTTCTTTCTTCAACTGTCTCTTCCTTCCTTCCTTCCTTCCTTCCTTGTCTTCTCCTTTCTTTCCTTCTTTCCATGCACTCCTAGTCCACTTTTTTTCCCTTCCTTCCTTCATCTTCTTTTCTTGTCACCAACTCCTCATCCGCTTTTCCTTTCCTTCCTCCCTCCTCTTCCTCCTAGCCTCCCCTCCTTTCCTTTTCTCCATTTTCTCTTCTTCCTTCCTCTCTTCCTCTCCTATCTTTCCTTTTCACCCTCTTCCTTATCCATTCTTTTCATTCCTTCCTTCTCTCTCATCTTCCTTTCTTTCCTTCCTTTCCTCTATGATCTTCCTTCCTTCCTTTTCTCCCATCGTCTATTTTCATTCCTCCCTTCCTTCTCTCTCATCTTCCTTCTTTCCTTTCCTCTATGATCTTCCTTCCTTCCTTCCTTTTCTCCCATTGTCTATTTTCATTCCTCTTCCTTCTCTCTCATCTATCTTCCTTCCTTTTCTCTATGATCTTCCTTCCTTCCTTTTCTCCCATTGTCTATTTTCATTCCTTCCTTCTCTCTCATCTTCCTTCCTTCCCCTCCCACCCTATAAGCATAACTCAGGCCTGAGACACTGCGGTGAGGACTGTTGTTGGGCGGGTGAAGAGTGAAAATCTGCCCCACTGGAGTAATTGGGGATGCTTTTCACGGGGGTGGGGGGGGAGCCCCGGGGTTTGGGGGGAGGCCTGTCTATTGCAACCCAAGCAAAAGCCCTGCCAAAGCCCTCCTCCCTCTTTCAGGCCAGACTTCCTACCTCGCAGGGGTGGCGTTGCAGGGGGGGAAGGGGGCAGTTTGGGGCATTTTGGAGTGGGTGGGGGCTTCTGGGCAGATTAACCTCCCCCCCATTGGCAATGAGCAGCGCCAGCCCGGCTGGGGATGATGGGAGGGAGAAGCCCTTGCCCAAAGGGGGGGGGGGACGCTCCCTGGCAGGGGATGGACCACAATGCCCATCATCCACAACGGGCTTTCCCGGTTGAATTTCCACCTGCCGGGCCAAGGAAGCCTTCCCCCCCCCCCCCCCCCCCCCCCCCCCC